AGAGTTTTTAAGAGTTTTAGTCAAATGCTTTATAAGATAGTATATATATATATATATATATACGTATGTGTGTGTGTATAGATGTGCGGTACTAATTATACAACTTTTTACATTTGTACAACCAATACAAGCCAATCTCAACCGTCCATTTAATTTGATGAGTATGTGGTTTCATAGAAGTTTTGATTGTTTTATAATATAAAGTATTGATCATAATTAATGAACCCTATGCATCTTCCATAAATATCCAAATCATAATAAATGAACTCAACATTTCCATAAATATCTCAATTGATTGTACAAATATGATAGTTGCATTTGAAACGTCATTTATATATATATATATATATATATATATATATATATATGTGTGTGTGTGTGTGTGTGTGTGTATGTATGTATATATAATCATTTTTGTTAGCCTATAAACCCAATTTTGTTATAACAATGTAAATTTTAAGTCTATTAAAATACTGTGCATTTTTAAATGACAAAAAATTGAAAAGGATTATATGGATTTTTGAATTACGAAAGATGATTTTTTGTGTGTATTATAAACATGGCCAAAAATTAGTCTTGGACCGGGCGGGACCCATAACCGGTCCTGGTTCAGGCCAGGCCGGTCCATAGAAACATCCAAAATCAGCAACTGGTCCCGAACCATGGTCTCATAACCGATCCCGACTTATAATCTTATAACCGGTCCCGGGCAAGGCCGATCCCATTTCGGTCCTCAGGAAGTCCCGGGCGAGGCCATAGCCATCTCTAGTGTATATATACATTATCATTCCTTATTATGTATTTCACGTTTATAAGGGCAATCATGTCTCTTCTTGCACTCATCTTTGTCTTCCTCTTTAGACATTCACTCGCAACCTCAAATGATGCGCAAGAAAACTTCATCCGATGCCTACTCAATTCAAATGAACTTAATACTCCGGTTGCCGTAGCAATATACACTCCGGCCAACTCTTCCTTCCCCACCGTGTTGCAAGCCTACATCCGTGACCTCCGCTTCAACGAACCCACCATTGCGAAACCGCAGCTAATCGTTACTGCACAGGGCCGGTCCTGGACATAGGTCCAGAGGGCGATGGCCCAGGGCAACATAAACCCAAGGGGCATCAAATTATAAAGCCCAATGTATATATATGTTTTCAGTTTTCAATTGGGCCTAAGAATATTACCGTTTCCATTCGTCCATCTCCCTCCCTCACGGCTCACTCCCTCCCTCCTGCCTCTTGCTCCCGCTCCCGCTCCCGCTCCCGCCTCTCGCTCTTGCTCTCGCTCTCGCTCTCGCTCTCGCCTCGCTCACTCACAGAACTCACAACAGAAATCGATTTATTTCACGATTCACGAATCGTAATCGCAATTGCAATCGGCCTTGACAGTTGACAGTTGACACAATCGGCTCTCGTTTCTGCCTCTCTCGTCTGCCTCTCAC